TATGGTGATGTATAACTGGAAGTCTGTCCAGCCGGCCGGACGTTGACAGTCTGAACCTCAGGCATACTCACCCTTCCAATCCCTTGTGCAGGCACTCAAGCCACCAGAAGGTCGGGGAATGTCAAATCACGTACGGCCGCACGGTACGACCTCGCAGAACACAGATGAGTTTGGCTTGTCAGGCATGTTTGGAGCAAACTCGCCAGCTTGGGGCTGAGCATTTTGCAGTATGTAGTAATAGCCGACCAAATGCCAGATCTTTGGGTTTCTGGGCTGGCGTATGCCGCACATGCTGGCATGATCCGCCAACAGAATATGTTGAAACTCGCTGGTTGGAGCAATACCCTGCAACCTACCGTACGTCATATTCGCATCTCCGGCCAAGGCTCGTTGGTGCGGGCGGTTTCAACAACCGAATGCTGCTTCCAGACCCATCAAACTTTTAAGATATCCACCACTAGTCACTAGCCTGTCCTCTTCGGAGCTGAGCGACAAAACTAAGGAGCCGACAACAGCTTGTGGTGAGCCCAGCAGCGAAGACGAGGACTCGCAGCAATCAACACATGTTCCACAGTGATAGCTTTGTTGCGTATTCCTGGCATTTTCATTGGCCATTGAGGGAAGCCTGCCTTTTCGTTGATGTGTTGGGTTGCATCACTGATGCGACGCAGAAGCACGTTCATCTCACAATGATGTGTCAAGTATTTCAGCTGGCATCGCACCGTGAAGATGTCATCCTGTGAGGCCCTAGCAGAGGCGCCGAGGACTCAGCTTGACTCTGCAATCCAGAGCCCAATGGGCCCAATGGCCCAACTTCGTAGGTGCTCCGTTCTGCGTTGAGGTTCTGGAACAGTTGCAAACAGGCGACGCCATCAGCTCCTGTGGCACCTGCCGCGGCCTCGCGTTACTTCGTATTTCATGGCAATGGCCGTCTGCGTTAGTGTGTGCATGGGCCGTCTCGGCCTGTCAAAGAGTGTTAGAAGTATGGCCCAGGAATGCCTGTCATAGGGCCAAACCATACTTCGTGTTGGGGTTTTTCAGCCTCGAACAGTCCATGTGCTTTCTTTGAAACGAACCAACGCGCATCTGCCAATGTGCGAGTGCAAGCACATGCACGCCCGCTTACTCCTCCTCTCTGCTTATGCAATGCACGACGCACGTACTATCACGCGCCGTTGCGACTGGGAGTGATGGCTGCACAGAGAGCTGCAGTCGGTGAATGTTGGTGATGCCACGACAGAGAATCTTCTAGCGACCACTTGTCAATGCTTCATGATGCTTTATGCTTGAACCCCCGCTGCCATACATTCCAACAACTCACAACTGCTCTTCAAACAATCGATGCAGATCTTGGAAGGAAAGAGAAAAGATCAGTGGTTGGCATTGCACACGAACAGAGTACATTCCGAATGTACCTGTAGGGCCTGGACAACAGGCACCCGATTGCACCCCCCCCGGACCGTCCCCGAGTCCTACACATGTCTTTTGAGCGGTTAATGTACGATAAACGTATGGCTGGGGCCTCCTCCTCCCTTTCCCCGGCAGAGGGAGGATTTTGAGCACAGCCCGGACCCGAACTGCAACATTAATGTAGGTGTCGCTGTCGCTGTGTCTGAGGCCGCTGTCCCCATGCTTTCAAGCCGGACAGCCAGGCAGCGACTCCTCCTCATGAACATTCGTGACTTTCGTGAACTTCTACCATGCAGCGTTACCCGTTACCATCCGTTGCCAACTGCGTTACGTATTTGTCTTCCCACAGGGCGCGGGTGCCACGGCGAGCAGCTCCGGCGGGCCTGTCCATGGCACCCAGGCCTGTCTCGTACCCGTGACACATGCAATTACACTATTAAGTTCCCTCAAGCATTGTTCACGTGTGTTCCGACTGCGCAGCTCCAGGTCTAGGATGGTTTAGGCAGGTCCGCTGCGCAGGTCCACCTCGGAAAGCCCAGCGCCCCGCGCGCCCAGCTCTTCAGCACGGGCAAGGGGCCCACGTGTGCAGCAGTGTGATGCTCGTACAGTCACCTGCGGAATCCTGCCGACAACAGCTCTCAGACATCAAATTTCTGTCAACATTGGTGTTCTGCTACCGCCCTACCAATTCCAGTTAAATTTCAATTCAGTTCCCATCGCATGGCAAGTGATGCAGATGCGTGATGCATGCGAAAATTGCCTGTCCTGCAGGAAGAAGCTGTGGAGGCATCGTGCGTTTTGTTGACATGCCACGTCCATGGTGTCGCATGTCTACGTAACAGTCGCTGCAGCCATGCCATGCTGGAGAAAGGAGTAAAGTCTTGGCTAGTCTTGGCTGGTATGGCCGATGCCGCAAAGCAGAGATGTGTTCTCAACTTTCAGGACCAGGAACATGAGGACGAGGAGGCGACAGTTACAAAGGGAGAAGCTGCAGTGCTACGGTTTGTGGCCTCGTCATGTCTGTTTGTTTCTCTTGTGCGTGTGTGTGTGTTTGTGTGTCTTCTCTCCCTCTCTCTCTCTCTCCCTCCTGAATTGCGTTTGTGCATGTGTCTCTCTGTGTGGCTGTGTCTCTGACGTCACCGTGTGTCAGCAGGCCCGTGGCTCTGCAGCTCGCAGCAAAAGGACTGCACAACCGTGCGCTTCTTGACTATGCGTGGCATTGCCAGAGCGAAGCTATCACCGTCCTACAAATTCGAGAAACTTTGAAGACTAAGACCTATTGTGTCTCGCACATTCACAATCTCCAGACTGTGATTTGACAGTGGTGTAACTGTTGTAGTTAACGGCTGCAATCTGCACACTGTGGTGACTCATCCACAGGCCCCCAAAGTCTTTGCAAGCTGGCTACACATCACGTGTGCACCAGAAGCAGAAGATCATTGTGGCAGTGGCTTGGGGGTGCCATACATGACAAGATATTATGACAAGGGACCCGGGTTCATCTGACTTTGGTTTTAGCCGCAATAGGTCTGAAAACCGCTCCGACATTCAAGCTGGAGAGCTGATCAGAATCATTGGTGTTTTTCAGGGAACCTGAATTATCTCGAGGGGTTGAGAGGATCAGAATCCGCCTTTTTTTAGGATGCCGGGTTGAGTGTTTGAGATGGTTTGAGGCTCTGGATTCTTCGGTCAGGTTGCCGAATCAGGCCGAATCCTCTCTGCTTTCTGGAGGTTGCCTCGCTCTAATCGTCTCGTTGCATTTTCTAATTTGGTCGTCGCCCATTGTGTGTCCTCAAGTCCTCAAGACCAGGAACACGAACATCAGCAGTGTCTTTGGAGATCCTTGGAGATCTTTTCAGCGCACTCTATGCGCGGCTGTGTGAGCACAGAAATGCGCAGCATACTTCACGAGAAACCTTGGGCCATGCTCAACATGGAGCTAATGCTCTTTTACTGCCGTGAGTAAGGACAAGAGAACAAGGAGAACAAGGAGAACAAGAACAGATCTACAAAATATCCACAAATGACGGAAGTCAGGTGATGTGCCGGTTTTGAAAGTTCTGCTCACTAAGGTGACGGGGCAGCTCCAATGTGTTGTTGTTGAAAATTGTTGAACCCGCACTGTTCATGATCAACCGACAGAGCTGGGGGGACGGTACCCATGTACAGTTTTTACGGTCGGTGTGCCGGGGGGGGGGGGCGGGTGGTAGATAGTCTGCGTTATATCGGTGAAGTCGAGTGTAGAAGGTTGCAGTTGTGGTTAGGACGGGGTTCGTGTCATTTGGCTGCAACCCAACACTCGCTCGTCTTTCCTTATGTATATACGTATCTACGCATGCTCCCCCTCCCCCGCCCCTCATCCGTCCTCCTCACGCATATTGAGTTACTTTCAATGCCATTTTCGAAATCCAAAGGAATTGAGCCCCAGCATGTCTGTGGCACATCTTTGCACAGAGATGTCAAGACATGTCAAGCGTAGCATCGGAATCATGCAGCCCAGGATTGAAGATACATGGAGTCTGGAAGACTATGAAGATGTATGAAGATGTATGAGGAGTGTCGAGTCAGCACTTGCTGCTTCTCTTTTTGCAGGACGGCTGCTGTGGTTCAGCCAGTTCACGGCCTCTGCCTGAACTGTCGCACATGTCTAGATGCAGCGGTGTCTCTTCCCCACTCCCCCGCACCGCCTCCCCCCACCACTCTTCCTCCACCACTCTTCCCCCACCACCACCCTCCGCACATGACATCACCGAAGGTCATCCTTAGTGACGGGCAGCGGAGTTCTGTGAGTATGGTTTTGCAGCTACGAGGCAGGCTGCCATCTCCACTGTGGAAGGTGTAAGATGTGCGGAGCAACCGCTCAAGTTGTTGACGCAATAATCCCGATGTTGCTAAATCACGCAGCGCACCGCGCTCCAGTAGATCCACGATGGCAAATAAGATGTCCTGCCCGCAAGATCCCGCAAGTGGATAGTGTGCAAAGGTATCATGCGCTCCTTTGCACGAACCCAGCGGGAAGTTCCCAACTCAGTAACACATAGCTTCGACCATCTTCGAGCATCACTGGGAACTTCACGATCCCTCTACTCAGCACATCATGGCGTGATGTCCCAACCCCAAAGTGGGATGGCAGAGTCTGGCAGAGACGGTGCAGAAATCTTCCGTTGCTCAGGTTTGTTTTAAACGCTGGACCATCTCTCGAGAGTGGCCAGCGAACCGAACTGCCAGCCCAATACCGCAAAGCCAGTTTCACTCCGCCGAAACGCTTGAAGCAGCTCTTGACTTGAAGCTGCCAAGCCTGTAAGCGACATGTGCATGTGTCACCCTTGACAAAAGGATCTCAGCCTTGTGAGGGCTTGCTGCAGTAGAGGCTAAGGGCAAGCATGGGCAAGCCATTTTGGCAACCGCACTGCACACGGGTTCCGGAAGAGTGACACTGGTCCAGGAGCGTGGACGCATGTCGAAGCATTTCGATGCCTTTGTGTTCTTGCATTCGAAGCATTGGCTTTGTTTTTGCAGCTTCGTAAAGACTCTGCAGCTGAGCATGAGGCAACGTACGACACACGACACGAACATGTGCAACTGGGCAGGTGGCGGTGGATGACTCCGCAAACTCTGCAAACTCAGATCTGCACAGGGCTGAGACTGACAGCCCGTCCTTTGTGCGAGGGCAGCTGTAACCGTGACAGGCTTCGGGTTGCAGTGACAAGCACGGCCACAGGCTTGAAGCCTGTTGTGGGTCAACATGACGAGAGTCAGCTGTTATGGACAACCCCCTTACCATGGTTACAACCCGCCCTCGTGACCCACTTATTTGTGCATGTGGCGCATGATCAAATACTGTAAGTGAAGCTCGAATCACCTTGCTTCCTCAAAGAGATGTAATCACTTCAAACAACTAAAAGACACTTCAGTCTGAGCGACTTTGTAGGGCCGTAGGATTTCAGCTCAACTGAAAAATTGAGCAAAGGCAAGAGTTTAAACAATAGCAAACTTAACGAACCAACGAGTGAGAAAGGTCTGAATAAGGCCTTTCGAACGACTAGAGTATACCCTTGCGTGGAATGCGACCGGCCTACAGAAGTACTAACCGGGTACACAATTTGTAAGATCCTGCCCTCGGTCCCGCCCTCCATCCTACTCAGAATCTGAGTTGCTGAGGGGGCCCTGCGTTTTACTCGTCACGAAGTGTGGCCTGGGCGCGAGGGTGCCACTCAGCTGGAAGAGGCCCGTCATGGAGGTACAAGCTATATCAAGCTATTCTCGATCTCCCTGGTGGAGTGCGTGACTTTGGAGCCGCGCTGAACTGCGACCAGGGGTCAGCCGATGACATCATTGAAAAGAGCACATGATAGGCTGTTGTGAGTATGTCCCCTTTGCTTCACATGTTTACTCGTATCTTGGCATGTGTCAGGATTGGCCTGGGACGTCGTGGAGGGGTTCCCAAGCGAGTGCTGAGGCAACTTTGGCAGCATTCAGTGGAAGCATCTCGCGATGGGAAGTGACTTTGGACAGTTCATGGTGCCATATGGTGCCGATTAGTGTAGATGTCTCGTGAGGCAACCTAAGGGTATTCGTCAGGTTGCCCAGAAATGTTTCCGCAGCTCAACTCTGCATTTTCAGAAGCCTGGCCTGACCAGGGTGGCGGACAACGACAGCGTGGTGGCTGCGCGCAGCTCAGGGATTCAGAATTGCGAAGCGCACATCTAAACACTCTTCGCAAGCATGCCATCGTGCGACACTATCCAAGCCCAAATCGCAGGACTTTTTAAAGACTACTCGTGACTACTCCCCAGCTATGCTTTCCCCAAAACGTGGACATTTCGCGCCCTCACAGTTCGTGAGAGTTGTTCACTGACCCCGGCTTGAGATTCCAGCATTCCTGCGGAGGCATGCGTTGTGTCCGGAAGGGACATCAAGGAGCCTGCAAAGCCCCTTGAGGCGTTAGGTTCTCAGACTCGGGCTTGTGGACATGTCGCGTGCTGGACTCTTCCAGACCCAGTCTTCACTGTCTTCACTGAGGGATCTCTGATACGAGGCTGTCGCTAAGCGATGATACTAGTAAGCGATGGTAAGAGCTTACGCATCGTCCTGGATCCCTACACTTCAGGGGCTCAGTTTAGTCGTTTGCATTGCTGGCAGTACATTATTGAACACTTGCATTTTCAGGGCTGAGTCTGAGTCTGAGTGAGTCTGAGTGTACACGCGTGTATGTGGGGGTGAAGTGCTCAAAGTGCTCAAGGCTCCAGCTCTACCTCAAAGAGCATGCGGATGCTGCAGAGGCATGGGATTGTCCCGTAATCATGGCAAGCACGTGGCCGCAACTTGACATGAACAGGCTGGCCGCCGCCAGCCATTTTCGTATGTCCTAGCATGCCGCCAAAAAAACGGATGTTGTGTGCATTTCTTCAGGGGTGGCAGTGTAAGTTGCTTTGTGCCTGCGTGGACAAACAACGAGCCCTGCAGCATTCCAGGCAGGTGTCAACAGCTTGCCAGAAGAAGACCTGATGCCATGGCCTTGAGACTTTTCACAGCTTTTGAACTCGACTAGGCGGCCCTGCTCCAAGCATGTGGTTACCTGCAAACTAGCAGATAGTTACATGTGTACCAGCCCGAGGCCGTACCGACAGCAGGAGCAGGAAGCAAAGAGGAAGTGCGCCGTGTCCGAGCTGATTGAACTGTTCTGCTGACAAGAGTGAAGACGGGTACCAAACGTTGCAGTAGCATGGTTAGGATGATATTATTATTTGAAAACACGTGCCAAAGCTTCAGGGTATAGCTCCTGTCGGAGTATTTCAATGAGGCCTGTTCTGGCAGCAAGGGGAACCGTTCCGGATTGAGACTGGCAGAATTCCGGAGTTACAGTACTCGGTCAAGGTGTGCGTTCGGCCGTGGCTTTGGGTAGTAACGACCTCTTAGGAGAGGACGAACAGGTGCGTGGGGGAGTGTGTTGCAGAGCGTCTACACCGGGGTTTTTATTGATGTATATAGACTCTAATATAGACATGAGTGATGCCAGTCATGGTTGTTCCGCAGACTGTCGTGCTGGCTAGTGGTCCAGGTACGCGGAGGACCTCGAGTCCTTCCGCCGACAGGAGTGCCCCATGTCTATCAAATGAAGCAGTAAATGGGTTGACTCTTGCAGCCTGACAGCCTTAACGAGATCCTGTAGATGTCTCAAGGCTCCATACTGGGTGTCAGAGGACTGTGAGGAAGTTCTGCTTGGCAGCACTGGCGGGGCGGTCACGAGGATCAAAGTCAGTGTGGCACTTAAGATGGTGTTGTGCTCATGCGGGCAGCAGGTCCCCACAAAATACCCTCAACCCAAGCTCGAAATTCTTTCCGCTCGGCGACTTTTGCCTCGGTTACGAGTTTGCGAGAGACCCAAAGAAATCGATTGACAGAGGCGAGAAGAGCTTCGAAAAACAGAGTGACATGCTGAGGGTAGTTACCAGGCAATTAGGAGTTGGGTAGTTCTTGTAGGCATGGAGGAAACTCGCGAGCGAAGGGCCTGGCAGCAGGCCGCTTTCGCACAAACGGACGTGGCAGATCAGGAGCTGGGACATATGCGGCAGAAGGGAAACCAGATGTAGACCTTTCCTAGGAAGAGAAAGTTGAAACAAAATAAAGAAGGCTCACCACTGCGGCACCCCCAACCTATAGGCCTACCTTTAGCTTAGGGTTCAGGGTTCGCTCATTCCTAAACCTAGCCAGCCCGTTGTCACCCCGCGCCCCAAGTAATCTTGTTCCAAGGGGCTTGCAAGTTTAAGCTTTGAAAGCGAAAATCGTTTTCAGAGACCGCGCTACTGCTCAAACTCTGACCGCCTTCCGAAAGATTTGAAAGGAACTTGTGGTGCTGTCCGTGTTTTCCAAAGCCTTTGTTTGTGGCTCTCTAGTGCTCCGGAAGAGCTTCGACCCAGAACATCCCCCCACGTGCACCCCCCCCCCAACCCCCACCCCCCCCCCACCCGCCCCACCCCGCCCCACCTCCCATCCCATCTCGCTTGACTTTCTGTTGGTTCGTAAGAAATGAGGAAATGAGGTACCGTAGAGAATCCCTGAAAAGGTAATTTTTCGGGGGACGTTAAAGGGTACCTCATTCCCTCATTTCCTACTAAGCAGCAGTAGGTTGAGGCCACATCACAGCAGGCCAGGTAACTAAAACCTATCCAGCTCACCCTTGGGGCTGCGAAATCCTGCCACTGGCATCGTGGCAGGTGGCAGCGACGACTAAACGAAGCGAATCCCACCTGGGGTAGCTATTTGAAACACAGAAAGGGTAGGGCGTAGACAACTAAGTAAGGGCATATATGTATACCTTTATCTGTATATATATAAATAAATAAATAAATAAATATAAATATATATATATATATGTGCCTAGCCTTCAAAACCTAAACTCCTGAAAACCTAAAGCTGAAAAACGCGCACCTGTAATGGGCCCCTTTCATGAACTTGCCCGTAACTTAGTATTGGATTTCTAAAGACTGAAACCTTCATGAACGATTCGTGCGTTCCTTACAAATGCGCTGTATTTTATAGTTTTTGGCACGGGCTAGTATTCATATAACTTCTAAGCCCCAACAAATAGAGTTCGTTGGTTCATTGTATTCTTGTTCTTGGAGATTTCTTTGAACCGTTGGGAAGGAGTGGCAGTAATACTATAATGTCTGTAGAAGATAGGCAATTGTGTTTTCGCCGACTCCAGAAGGTGCTGAACCAGCTTCTAGTGACACTGCATTACGCTCCGATTACGCTACACGCTTACATGTTCTGGGTTTTGGCGAACAGAGAGTCTGTCTGGCGTCAAGCTGATGTTGTCAAATTGTTGTCGAAATTAAACGGCGGCTCCATGTGTTTGAATTGTACTGTACGCATGCCATTCAGCCATTGTTGGGTTTAGTAATCGTCGCCCTGCTGAGACCCAGCTGGTTCGATGTTCTAACGTTCCATGCATTAAGGCACCGTGCCTGTCCACGCCAGGGAGCGGCGAGGCCGGAATGCCAAATGATGCCTTCCTTTCTCAACATCCTGAATTTGCTGAACATATGAAGCATCGAAGAAGCATCGGTGCTGCTACACGCCACAACTACCATCCTTCGCACTGTTGGGCTTTCGGCTTGTCTGCAACAGCTGCTATCGCAGGCATTAGCAGGCATTTGCGACATTCCAACTTGAGTTTGGGTGCTCCAGACATTCAAGCTGATCCCAATTTCTTGATCCACTGCTAGCGAACGGAATCGCATTGCATATGCCTGGTTGCTGTACTTCTGCATAAGATCTCGCTAATAAGAGGATCTCATCGTTTGTGAGAGTCAGGGTGTCCGAAAAAATTGACGAATCGCATACGAAACCATCCCCCGAAACCATCCCATGAAACCGTCCCCTGACCATTGTGACCCTCTGCAGGCCGTGTGCTTGCCAAGACAAAGGGCAGCGATCGCATCTGTCTGGTGAGCACCTGAGAAAGTGGACTGTGAGGACTGTGACCGGACCAAGCGCATCTGCAGCTCCATGTGCCAATTGCTATCAAGATACCCTTTTGAGTTTTCAAGACGTTGTGCTACACGTAGCATCGTCGAACAAGCCTGCTGAGTGTGCGCTTTTTAGTCTTGTCACCGACCAGGCATCGCTGTTGTCTTCCATCGAGGATGATGGGGATGAGACTGGTAAAGAAGCAACCAAGCCGGGCGCATTCAGATCTTCATCTGCTCACACGATGCGTTCACATGCTCATCATATGCTAGTAGCACCTTTGCTTAGGCTTACGCCGTCAAATTCCGCGGCGTCAAGACGTCGCAGGCGCAGAAAGTACAGCAACTGACCGCACAGAGAGCAATGTTGCCCCAACACTGCCCAGATTTGTAGAATGATGTAATTAGAATTATGACACGGGATGTCCGGCCAGAGGCAGGATTCACGGAATATTTTTAATGTTTTTTAATGGTTTTATATGATTTCGAACATCCTCGGTTCATGATTTATTTATGGATATGACAACACATATGTTTTCTTTATGATTGGAAATATGTGGCGTAATATGTTTTTTATATGATTCAGTGCATGATGTTTATGATGTTTGTTTGCTCTCTACCTGCTCAGGACCACGCAAACCACACCACCCACACAAATGGTGGGGGGCGGGGGTTGGGGGGTGGGGTGGGGTGGGGTGAGGGGGCGGCGGGAGGGGGGGGTGGTGCGGAGGCGTTGTGGGGGCGGCAGGGACGGTGGGGGGGCGGCGCGGGGGCGGTGCGGAGGGGTGCGGGGAGTGGCGGGGGGGCGGAGAAGGTGAACAGCACATTGCAACGTGAAATCCTGCAAAACACAGTGTTTTGTTTTACTTTATGATTTTTTATGAAATTTTATGATTTTTTATGGCCTGTTTGGCTCTCCACTCCCCACCTCCTCGGCCCCTGTGGATGCTGCGGGCAGAGTAGGAGTAGGGCTTGGGTGAGGGGCGATATGGCTGGAGTCCTGAGTGGAAGCAGGCTAAGGAAGGCTACAAAACAAAGCTTTGTCAAAGCTAAATGAAGCCATCTCGCGGGTCATAAAACAAACATATTTAAATCATAAACACAAGAAACCTAGAAAATTGCCCGAATCATAACAACCATATAAAATTTATTTAACATCAGGGCTCCTGTGGCTGGAATTGGTGTCATAAAATTAGAAGGCAATCGTGTGCAAAAGCTATGCCAGCTGTGCACAAGGGCGGCAGATCCTGGGCCAGACAGCGCTGGCAGCGGCAGCACTCTCCGAGGTTCTCTGCATTGAAGGGCGGGCGGTTGTTGCTTTGCATGGTGCAGCATGCAAGACTGCAAGTTAGAGATGTGTTGGCATGATCTCGTGTGAATTCATGCTCGTTGATAGCCCCTGTCAGTGCCTCGTTGTAGGCCTTAAGAAGGGACACAGCATGTGTGATAAGATCCATGGCCGAATCGGCACAATCGCGGCTCCCGGAAACAGCCGGAAACTTCCACCACACCTCCGGCACCACCCGCCTGCGCAAGAGCAAGCTTGTACCTGCAGTTCAGCGATGCTCAGCGTATCTCGGAAGGGAGCAAGCCACGGAGCAATACGCTGAAGAAGCATGCAGCCGAAGCGGTGTGGCCATGGCTTCCGCACGAATGCATAACTGTGCCAGCGTAGCGGTTAGCACGTGAAGCGTCTCGTTGTTCTTCTTTCGCGTAGTTGGTTGTTGCTTGTGGCTCGCATAGCCGTTGCACTGCTCGAAGCAGGTGCATGCAGGTTCTGGTAGATTTTGAGTGCTAGGTCGCATTCGACTTCCCGCCGCCGCCCCACAAACCTCCAGGAAGGAAGTTTTCGGTCGACTTTGTATGACAAAAGGCAAGCTGTGGATCGGTTTTCCTGCGCATCCCGTAGAACAAAAGAAGGCTTGGTGCGTGTGCGCTGTTTCACGGTGGGCTGCAAGGGTGGTAGGGTGGGAGTCGTGCGACTTGAACTAAGAAACGATACCGCTTGATTCTGACGTCTTGTGTCAACAACCTGCCGCGCCAGACTCTGAACTCCAAAAAGGGAAAGGGAAATCTCGAAGGTTCCAGTCCAGGGTATCCAGGTTGAAGCTCGCAGATCTGAGGCAAAACTGCCCTGAGCCTCCCAAGCTCCCACGCGCCTTCAGTGGTCGCGGTTTTGGGTGTCAGAGGCTTTGCAGGGGCTTCTCCCTGCCACCTCCAAGCGCTTCAGGATTACGGAATCACACAGGATTTGTCAGCATGCGTGATCGACAAGTCATTGATTCGCATGGCTGATTGGGCCACCATGACGACTGGATCCATCGATTAGGGTCAGGCTCACCGATGAGAACCACTTGTTTCCTATGTCGTATTTCTAGGTTCTTGGGATGTAAGAGAGCGCTTGGCATTGCTTTGGAGATCTCCCAAAATCTTTATGAGGCTCAGAAGCGCACGAAGTGCTCGAACCAAAGGCGACCGAGGCAAGGGCTCGAAGTGAATGCCCGATGTGTTGAGTGAGGGCAAGCTCGTCTAATCGTTTAATCAAGCATTGCAGAGTGCACAGCCAAAGCAGATTTCGCCTTGAAAGCGACAACTGAGCTTCCAGATGAGCGGAGCACAGGCTGCGGTTCCACTTCCGGTGGAGCGCACTCCGCGCTCCAAACTGACACAGAGCCTGGCCAAGAGAAGGAGCGCGGAGTTGCACTGGTCTTTGACGAGTACTGGCAAAATGGAGATGAATTTCACTCAAAGAATCATGGTGACCGATTCATGAGAGTCATGAGAGCTTGTCAGGCGCTCCTCCAACATGTCTTCGCCGAGGCTGGCATGGAGAGTCAAGCTTTGTGAGGGCAATTGAGGGCTTGTCGGCTTGCATCTCAGAGCCATTGAGAGCCCTGCCCATGAACAGCCATGAACTCGCAAGACAACACACCCCTATTTCGGGTGTCTGCTTGTTTGGACATTTCGCTGACATCGGGTGGCTCCTAGTCGTTGGAAAACTAGTGCAGGAATCAAAAGAGGTTGAACAGTCAGTGGCGAAGATAGTGAGGGTGAGACCTGGTCTGTTCCATGATGCGTGAAGGTCTGAAGCCACAGTTTCTGGCTGGAAACCAGGTACTCGTACTTTCGTCTTCATGCCCCTCAAGAAAAAAGCCCAAGCTAATTGAGGAAACCTAGATTTGGGAGAACTCGGGGTGCGACGTGGAGGCGTCATGTTCATGCCCAAGCGAGCCTCTTCTACCTTGCTTGGCTTGCCGCAGAATTTTGACAATGTATGGAGTTGAACGGATAGTTCCAACGTTCCAGCCCCGAGGCAGAGGTCTCCGCGAAGTCCTAGTCGGGGGCCTAGGGCTTTGGCGTTAGGGTCCTTCAGGCTTGAGGGGAAGGTTCGAGAACCTTAGGCTTACTATGTTCCAGATCCACGGCAACTACAGTATCGTACAGCATCTGAGAGTATCTGTACGAGCGAAGAAAGTGTAAAAATCATTCAGAACACGTTTGTGCCGGTGGCGTGTACTGCATAAGCTGTAAATTAGCAAAGAACTCAAACATGCACCCGTCTGTGCTGGTCTCCGAATCCTGGTAGCCCCGTGCTTCTTTGGGCACCCAGAGATTCTCAGTTCAAAGAGCCGATCTGTTTCGGATAGCCATGGGGCCAGCAGTCGCAGCGGCCATTCGCAGGTTCCATGGAGGCGGAGAGGGCATTCTAGCCATTCTCAATCCAGCCCCGCAAAGTCAGTTGAAGAGCCCATTCCCTTCGTCCCGCCCCCCCCTCCCTTGCCTCGCCACGGCTGCCCTTGCATTATGAAAAGTTGAATCCCAGCTACCTAAGTTCAAAGCTCTATACGGCTGCTGAAGCCGAAATTGCGGGTGCTCAAGACACTCGGCTGCAAGGGGAAAGGGGGGAACCTTCGGGAAGTTGGGGAACCCAAGATTTATTGTGTGTGAGCTGCTCCAAGTTGTGGGCTTCCGGGTCTTTGTGAGAGTTCTTCCGGAGTTGGGGCCTTGTCGATCCTTGCCGATCCTTGGAGAAACCGCTGTTTGGAATTCAAATCTCAAGGAGCCCCTTCTTCGCGAAGAGCATGATCCCCAAGGTCTCCACATTCGTCCTTCTCTCAGCTCACCACTACAGACATCTACAGATGAGCACACTGCCGCACAAGTTTGCAATTCCAGAGCCTACGTGGAGGTGTTGGTTGGCAAATGTTGGCAATGTTGGCACTGGCCATCTTTGGCCTGCGTAACCGTGATGAGGAAGACAGCTCACTCCGTTCAGTAGCCCTGCCATTATGAGGACATCACCCTTGGACGCTTCGTGCCAGCAGCCGAGAGCGCCTTGCAACTTCTTGGAGCACGGTTGATTTGTTGAAGTTTGGAAGTTTGTGTGCGTCTGTGTGTTTGTGTATGGATGAATTCCGCACATCCTGGCTCTGTATAGGGAAGGAGGATGGTCAGAGGCTACTTACGGTACAAATGATACGGTAGGTATTGCACGTGCTTACCAGCGTAGTTGTTTACGTCCACGTGCAAGTGCCCAAGGGTAAGCATGCGTGCTTGTCAGACATTTTCAGTTGCGGATGTTGCGGAGCTCTGAAGGGCCGAAGATGCTGAGTACAGTGAGTACAGTTCACACCGCGGAGCGTGAGCGAACGGCGTGATGTGCCCCATATCATTCAGCCCTGCTGTAAAGTAGGGATATCGCTGCAGAAGCTGGTGCCTTTCTTCAGGGCTTGTGAGAACTCGGAGCGCATGATTGAGGTCCTGACCTCCATGAGTCAGTTCACCTCCTGGCCCCAAGCTCAGACTGGGTTTGATCCAGTGCGCACAAGGGTCCAGGAGTGCTGACAGAATTTGAGAAGAGCATCAAGAAGAGCATAGAAGAGCGCTGTAAAGTTTAGTTTTCGCACGAATTCCCATCAGTGCCGGGGCCCTTTCCAGGCAGCGAGCCGGGAGCCAAGCGCCAGGGTGCGAGTCGCTGGCACCAGGCACGCGGCTCAGCACAGGCAAACAAGTGCCAAACATATGCATGTGCAATCCTTGTGAGTTATGTGCAGTCAGTGCAGTCAGCGTCAGCTGTGAGAGTTGTTCGATAGAGGTTTTTGGTTTGACTCATGTAGCCCTCATAAGCTTCGCGACAGATACCTTCATCAAATCGACGCTCCGGGTTTCTAGCAAGTTCTGATGCAACACTCTGTTTGCTTGTTTTCCAAACACGTCTTGGCAGCGGCACCCAGATGTCATCAAGCTACTGATGAGGATTACAGATTTCCGTTTGGATGTTCTCGGAAGAAGTTGCGAGCGAATGGGTTGCACATGGACTGCAAAAAACAGGTTTTCAAGCCCGCCAGTTTTTTTTTTGGCATGGGCATGCCACGGCTTGTTCAGGCATGTGTGTTGGATGTGGCGCCCATCCCGAGCCCTCGTGCAGTAGGGCTGCACCAGCACCATCTAGCCCACAAGCCTGACTGATCGCTCCTTCTGGACCAGCGCCTCACCTCGGCTTCAAAATCCACCCTGCTGATGTTTCAGAAAACGGTTGCCATTGTCTGCGATTGAGAACTATGGTTGATCTGCTGCGTTGCTTACTGAGGTTGGCCAACATGGCCACTGGACTTGCAGCTGCTGGTCAATATGACCTAGCTTGACCCGGGTTCCGTGTGTACACATTTCAAATTCGTAACTTTGTGCAAGCCAAGTCTCTCGAAGTCCTGTTCCAAGGAGGGCACGAGATTGGGCACCAGTTGAACTGGGCAGAGTCGGTTAGTGCGTGCTATTCAAGGTAGATAGAGTCACTTCCTGAGGACGCACGAAGGGACAATGTGGTTTCGCACATCAAATTCGTTGCAGTCCACGATGAACGGCCCGCAAAGGCTGAGCTCAGAAAGGCTTTCTTTCAATCGGCAGACCTTCCATGCTGTCTGCTCTATTGGCTCGGCCTGAGCAGGTCTCTGGGGATGGCTGGGGTTGCTGCCCCCCCAATAATTGACAGGAACATGGGAAATTCAATCACGTCAACTTCTGTTTATGTTGGAACTTGGAACGACATGCATTGCAACCATAGACTTCTGAATGTCCACCGTGCAAAATTTCCCTTGACCTAGCTGTGCCAGCACAGCTGCCCTAAATTGTGTCAATTCGCTGCGGTTAACTGCGGAATGTCAAGAGATAAAAGAGGTGAGCTGAGAGCAGAAGGCGGGAGCAGAAGGCTGAGAGCCCGACTGAGTGTCGACTTATGTCACACGGCCACACTCGAGATGAAGTGCCACATCATGACTAGTTCAGTATTTTGCAGTATTTCGCAGTGTTCACGGCAGAGCCGCTCGGCAACTGCTGAAGTGCCAGCTGTTCGCGACTTCCGAAGAGATTGCGAAGCATGCTTCGTTCGCGCCTGCTCGGGATTGCTGTTGCAGTGTCTGATCTTTCAGAATATTACAGCAACTCATTCTAGCGAGCACTGACACATTTACCTGCAGTCTCCCTGAGTCATCCAAAGCCCTAGCCAAGGACCAACTCTAGAAAGCAAGCCTAGGGCCTAGATATAAGCAGTCCGTTGGCGCCAAGCCATGTGGGCTATGCCCAAGACTCCGCTGCAGTCGCTGCAACATGTCTTCTTTGTGATTTCTGTGCTGATTTTGGAGACTCTGGAGACAGCGGAAACAGAGACAACGAGCAAGAGCCCACCAGTTCCTTCGAACCTTCGGCTGCAATCGCAACATGGTGCACTGTACCTTTTAGAGCGATCTCCATCTTTCTCTCTTCCTTAGTATTCCGCCTGAGCCTACCGACCGTTTTCTTTTCCAAATAAGGAACCGCGTTCCTGCTTGGTTGGGCGCTGCCTGGGTGGCCTCGTCCTTCGGCGACTGCACCCAATGCGGTTTCGGAGCCTTGGAGTCGCAGAAGTGGACAAGGGAGCAGCTTTACAACTAATTACTATTGGCATTAAGTATACGTAGAGGACGCCCAAGGACGGGCCCCCTAAGGCTTAAGGCTCCATAGCTCCATATGGCCACAACCTTGCAATGTCAGGCTCGGTGCAGATTCGCGATGTCACGTGCATGGCCATCTTTGAGGAAGCATTGCTGCCGCCGGACTGCCCGAGTCATGCGTTGCTACAAATTGCGAATAGCGAGTCGAATTGTTCACAGATGGCCAGCAACCCCTTGAGTCAGAGAAGTGCTTGGCTTTGGAGATCTTAGAGGCTTAGAAAAGACTGCTGTGCTGCAAGCGACGAGTAGATTGTGACATGGGCTTGATTCCTTCACTTTCCAGGAGACCTGTGAGAATCTGCCGGCGCCTCCAAAGACAAAACCCTGTGACTGCTCTGTGCTGCCTTGCAATCCTGCCCTAGCGAGCAAGTGCCCAAGCCAGGCCGTGGGGACAAATTCGTACGGGTGTTTGCGCATGTTACTGGTACTACCCGTTGTTATGCTAGGTCGTCTCCTGAGCTTCACAGCCTTCCCCCATTCCAAAATAGTTATATACACATGTTACAAACCCGAGATGTGGTTGAAATGATTACGCCAAGACATTGAACTGTGCAACGAGTGTGGAATTTTGATCAGCTCCCCAATTGACATAGGATTGGATCAGCCACCTCCCCGCCCCTCCCCAAAATCATCCTGAGCCAAAGCTGCATTGGAGCATCAAGTTGAAAGATTTTAAGTGAAGGGCCGTAGCTTGCTGGTTTGGCCACTCTTCATCAGCGCCTGAAAAATTAGTTCAGGGCCCTGATGCAGTCGAATTTCTTGGTACTCGTATGTCTTCGAGCTTAGGGCCCCTGAACCCTAAAATGTGATCTCTCAGGGCTCCAGGAGGCCTCAAGCCTAGGCCACATCTGGCGTTTGTTTTTGTTTTTTGTTTTTGCGATTCCGAAGCTTATAGGTTTAATTGTCTATGTAGGACTCCCTAACCTTGAAAACCTAGACCAGGCTGCGTGGTTCTTCCTCCGTGTCTTTTTCTGCTCTTCCAACAGCAAGCGGAGGGACCTTGCCGACAGCATGTCGCACCATTCCGGGATTCTGCCGCTCAGAAGTCCAGTGGCTTTCTTGCTTTAAAGTAGGCCTTCTCTCGACTGCAGCAGCCTTGTAGCATGTCCCCAACCACATTCAGGCATCTTGAAGCCTCTCTTGTCAACGTTCCCTGGAGGCCACCTGCGCCGCCCCGGACGATGTGGATCGCTATTTCGTGGACACGGCAAGGGAATGAAAGGGGATCTGCAGAGATGTGGGCCGCAGGCCCTTAGCAAAGGCAACGTGCAGGGGTTGAATGGGCAGTAATGGGTACTGGGGTGTTGGCTCGAAAAACGGCATGGGATTCTCAGCAGTATGTGTGCAGTGAAGAATGGACATGCCTCGAGCGATCTAGGGCAGCACTCTGCAGACTCGGGTAACAGTTAACATGTTGCTCATCTTCGTCTCAGCAGGAGTTGGGCTGCTTCAAGCGAGTAGAGGGACACGACGGACCTGGCAGACAAGGTCGGGAATCCAATCAAGTTGCGCTTCTGTGGCAGCCATGGGCTTTGCCCCAAGGCTTGTGAGATTCGGGGATGTGAGTCGATGCCATACTTCATTTCCTGGGGGTGGCATGAATTGAAAGGTATTAGAGCCAAGGGAGCGAGTAGCCGATGTAGCCGTAACCGTTGTTCTTGACGTTTGGACCGTTTGGAGGAAAAACGGCGATCGACTGGAGCTGTATGGACCACGATGGCAAGTTGCCCTGCAAGAGTGGGGTGCCGATCCTCGGCCGATCTCGGCAGCATCATTCAGTGGATCTGCCCGGCATCGAACGGCTCATTGAACTCATTTCGGCAAGGTTCTACTCCATGCACTCCAATGCAATGTCGCCGCCGTTGTGCTACGACTTCTGCACAAGCAAGGCTGGACTCAGACACTCCATTCGGTAGCAGCTTTCAGAACCATTCCACTGGCAGCTGGCCCTCACACGACCCTTGTTGTCTTCGGGGTGTCTCCCATTTCCTCACCAACGAAGCATTCGACATAGTATCCGCACTGTCCTTGGACTACCATGACTGCGCGTGTCCAGTACGTCCTCCAACTTTGCTGTTTCGGTGACATTGTCCATTCGGGTCGAGGGTGTGACGTGTGGCAGGGCATGGACATATTTGCGCTGGTCGACGAGAGCGAGTGCCGCTGCGGGGTTTCTGCTGCCAACCGCAACAAATCTGAAGATGTGGAATAGGTTGGTCTTGATTCGTCACAGGACTGTCGCTACAATGTCGTTGGGGGAGTGCCCAGAGCTTCAGCTTCGTGGGAGGTCTTGCAAAGTGAAGCCTAAGGGCGTAGCATGTTACACGGCTCATAAACATCCCACGATCTCTCTGACAAGCTGGTCATGTCACGTGTGGCCCACATCCAGGACCTAGGGAAGGTAGCTATCGCAATTGAAATTTTCTGCGATCTCTTGTGCTGACAAGGCAATCTCCGGCACCGCCAGAGAAGGAACCCGCTGCTGCAGTTCCAGGCGTCCCCGCTGTTGACATATCTGAGACAATTCGAATTGACCACAGCCGAGGTTGCCGTTTTGGAACGTGTCGAGCCCAAGCAAGGCGAGCAGTTTGCCATTTCCAGCGAATGTGATGTTTCCATATGTTTCCTCTTGAGCCCTTCCCTCACGCCTCATTGACTCATGCACGCTGACGTCGCACTTCTAGCTATGCACTTTCAGCTTCTCTTTTCGTTGGTTCTTCTTCGACTTCGCTTCCGCAGGCCTCTGCCCGCTACGCGCCTACCGCTACGTTGGTCACCT